GGCGGCGCCAGATCGAAGGGGGTGGAAGGAGGAGGACGTGAGGGGAGGAGGCCGGGCGGTGGTGGGGAAGGAGGCAGGGGCGGTGGCGCTAGGGGCAAGAGGAAGAGGAGAAGGTGGTCGGGCGGCGGCGGCGATGTGGGTGGGAGGAGAGGAGGCGAAAGGGGAAGGGAGAGGAGGCGCGCGGGAGAGCGGGGCGGGGCGGGCAACGGAGGAGGCGGAGTGCGGGAGCGAGGCGGCTAGGGTTTCACCAGGAACGTGGCCGCCTTTTATACCCCTAGAAAGTGAAATGACGAAAATACCCTCGGGGGGCACTGGAATTACGTGCGGTGGCAGGCCGGGAGTGAAACGAGCGCTCAGTTTTTATCCAACGGTCGAGGGCGTTCGGGAGGGGGATCGGACGGCCGGAAACGCATCAAGGAGCCGATCCGACGGACAGGAGGCTCAAATCGCTGAGGAGCCTCCTGCATCCACTCCTCTCTTATTTCTGGATACTGATACACACAGCTAGCTCATGATCTTGGCATCTTATGGGCTGACTATCTTGGTTGGTTCCTGGTGAGCCTGTGTTGTTCTAGCTCGATACACAATACTAGCATAATCCAACACGTTGGAGTGTGCATCTTAAAAAGATGCATATTACTCAGCAGCAACCAACACTTATATTATCTAAAAGTCACCTACTCTTTTTTGATAATGAAGGCATTGGCCTTGGTCAGTAGATCTCTCTTGAGTTTCAGATGTGGATGGATTGTTTCTCTCTAGATGTTCAGTTAAGTTTTGGGCCAATTTTTCTTTTGGTTGCTGCTAACACACGCGAATTGTTTCAGCACCAAGGGCAATGGAGAAATGCAAGAACATGAGCTGATGAGAGGATGTACTAAATGTTATGTTGAAACTAAATCAAGAACTTACCGCACTTCTGGTCGAGCTATATAGCATTTTGGGCCCAAAAAATAAGGTCACACACTGCTACTATCACCAAGGCCAGTTTCACCATACTTGAATATAATTATTAGGTAAGAAAAAAAGAGGACACGTTTGTCATTGTCATGTAAACATAACTGAAACTGAACAAGGACAAACTGAATTGCCTCAAAAGAAACATGCAAAGCGCTACGAGAGATTGTCGGAAGAAAATTAATATTGCGCAAGCTCTGTATAGAATGATGAGATTGCTATTTGAATCATGACCACGTTTAGGTAAATGGGCAATCAATTTACATGTTTTAGTAATGCTAACACCAACAGGAGATGTATAGCTAGTTAAATCGAAGAAAGATGGCTGGAGTACATACATGCTAGCATATTTTACGCTAGGTGTCAAAGAAAGAAAGTATGACGAACTCGTCAACTGGTGGATCGGAAAAAACGAAGCAACAATCGTTAGAAGCAATTTCATCAGACACGGGTTTAAGCTTTAGAGTCTTGATCCTGGCGCACTTTGCTCGTAGTGCCTCGTCGGCGACGATGTTGTAGCAGTAGCGCATGCAAAGATGCTCGAGGTAAGGACAGCTATCAATGATGCTCACTAGTTCCGCGTTGTTGATGTCGACGCAATCAAGACTAAGGTGCCGCAGCTGCTTCATCATAGCGATTCCAAGCACATCCCCATCATGGAAACCATAGCTGCCGTCCGGATGCAGAAAGTACACTGGATGGGCCAGCACAAAGAGCTTTAACTGCGAGCATGCTCTGCTAATGGCCTCATACACGTCACGGTTCTCCTTCTCATCATCAGAAATGTTGTGGCACTCAATAAGAACTAGTTCTTCTAGCTGAGGGAACTTTACTATCAGGTCCATGAATCCTTTCTTGGAGATGTCGTGGCATTGCATCAGACCAAGGCTCTTCAGAGAGGGCGACCTGCAAGCAATGTGAAAATTTATATTACTTTCTGGTGCTAATTATACTATGCCAGCATATCTTTGGAAAACGTACAAATAGACATGGTACCAACCAAACTGCATGATGATCGTCATAGACAGCCAGAGATGAGAGATGTATTGCAAAGCAACATGGTTTGTTCAAAAGAAGCGGTGACAGTGCTATAACCAATATGAGGAAATGGCTATTCATGCTATGCTTCTGACATGACCAGAGGTAGTGGCGAAGGCAGAAACAATTTTTAGGTACACCAGCGTTTGTGAAGGAAAAACCATACACGGTATAATACAACTATACAAGGGCTTACCAAAATAAAAGATATATATTATTTGGTGTTCGACAAGTACAAACAAAATCCAAAACTAACCTATTACTTTGAACAAAAACGAGATTATTTAATAGGGATGGTGATTACGGTCGGCGGTGACAAAGTTTGTTTTAAAAATAAAGTTCAATTTCGATGTTGAACTACTGCATTATGACTTGCTCTTCTTCTTCGGTGCTTTATGCATACTAACAAGGCACAATCGCCCTCGCGTCACCAGTAGCCACTGACCAATCACGACTTGTTCTTATTCTGAACTACATATCATGACTTCACAACAGTTTAGTCTTTCTGGCATTTTGGAAATAATAATTGCTAGTTTTTTAGCAAAACAAAAATTGAGCAAAATGGTGTATTTGTGTTTTAATTCATCTGTCTGAGTCAACTCACAGTTTCCAAACCCACTGACTGATGAACCAGGCCAACTAGTAGGAAGCAAAAGGCCTAACATGCACTGAATCTTACTAGTTCAAATTTTACATGTACCAGTATGTATACTTGTTGTATTTGTAGAAAACATTAGGCATGGCAGCTGCCAAACCATGCCAGATTGCTGGCACCACCCTTGACCGGTGATGCACAGCTTTTCTGGGATGCAGCAAAAGAGCAGAGAAACTTAAAGATACCGAAGCTGCACCTGATAACGATGGTGCTCTGCTCTTAACGTAGAGTTTTTTTAGAATATAGATTACCAGATAAATTCAGCAAAAATACTGGCAGGCAAAGGAGTCTGAAATCTGACTTAGACAAAGGAGGAGTATTATTACCAAAGAAGAAGAAGAAGAGTACCTGTCCGCTATTTATTCCAGGAGCTCATTGGTCCCAAAATCCCTCGCCACAAACTTCTGTAGCTGCCCACCGGAGCGGTCGACAGCCGCCTTGGCCATGGCACACAAGGAGTCATCTGTTAGGAATAGTAACTTATCATTATTAGGAGGCAAAACGCCATCATATACACATGTACAGGGGAGGTCAAAGGCCAGAATGCAAAAGGCCAAAAGCCAACATAAATATAACTCTAAGACCCCCCCCCCCCGCAAACTCATGGTGGATCCACAACACTGAGTTTGGAGAGATAAAATCCATGTTGCGCTCTAGTCTGGGCCTTCGTGAAGAAGTCCGCCAGCTGTAACTCGGAAGGCACATACTGAAGAGCGATAACATGGTCCTGCACACCAGCGCGCACAAAGAAAGCATCAACACCAATATGCTTGGTAAGCTCATGCTTCACTGGGTCCCGCGCAATACTGATAGCACCTGTACTGTCTGACAAGAGTGTAGTAGGTGCAGTAATAGTAACACCAAAATCCTCGAGTAACCAGCGTAACCAAGTCACCTCTGTTGTGAGAAGAGCCATAACTCGCAACTCAGCCTCTGCACTCGAACGGGAAACTGCAGTCTGTTTCTTCGTCTTCCAGGCAATGAGAGAACCACCAAGAAAGACACAGTAAGCAGAAAGTGAACGGCGATCCGAAGGATCACTAGCCCAGGTAGCATCTGAATAGGCCTGGAGCTGTAACGAGCTGGAACGAGGAAAGAAGAGACGGTGAGAGATCGTGCCACGAAGATATCGTAGAACACGAAGAAGGTGACTATAGTGAACCGAAGTGGGAGAAGAAACAAACTGACTCAGGATATGGACAGGATAGGAGATATCCGGACGAGTAACAGCGAGATAGACAAGACTCCCAACAAGATGACGATAATGAGTCGGATCGGACAAGGGCTCACCATTAGTAGCACGAAGGTGAACATTAAGCTCCATAGGATTCTCAACACTGCGCTCATCACTAAGAGCCGCACGAGCAACAAGATCCTGGATATACTTTTCTTGGGAAATAAAAAAGCCATCAGAGGTGGAGGAAATCTCAATCCCAAGAAAGTAACGAAGTGGACCAAGATCAGACATAGAAAACTGCTCACTGAGACGGGCCTTGGCAAAGGCAATGTACTCAAGATCATCGCCGGTGAAGATCATGTCATCAACATATAGAAGAAGAAGAGTGCGACCACGAGCAGAAAGGTGAACAAACAGTGCTGGATCATGGACACTGGGTGAAAAACCAGCTGCAGTGACAACCGAGGCAAAACGCTCAAACCAGGCACGCGGGGCTTGCTTAAGGCCATAGAGAGAGCGACGAAGACGACAGACCATGCCATCAGGAACTGAATACCCAGGTGGTGGCTGCATATAAACTTCCTCACGCAACTCACCATTAAGAAAAGCATTCTTAACGTCAAGCTGAGACACGGACCAGTGGCGAACAGAGGCCACGGCGAGAAGTGTGCGAACAGTGGTCATATGGGCCACAGGAGCAAAGGTCTCATCGTAATCACGACCATGCTCCTGCTGAAAGCCACGAGCCACAAGACGAGCTTTATAACGCTCAAGAGAACCATCAGAGCGAGTCTTAATCTTATAGACCCACTTACAAGTGATGGGGCGAACACGAGGAGGAAGAGAAACTAGATCCCATGTGCCGGTGCGTTCAAGAGCAGCAATATCCTCTGCCATGGCAAATTGCCATTCAGGATGAACAATAGCATCTCGATAAGAAGCCGGCTCTACAACGGTCGAAAGACCATAGCGAGAAGGAGAATATCGATCAGGAGGTGGACAAGGCCGAGAACGAAGACCATAAGTCGGCTGAGAGGAGGAAGACGACACATCAGAAGTAGAGGGCACATCAGTAGACTCATCCATAACACGTTGACGACGAGTATAATGGAAAGGAAAGGATGGGAGAGGTGGAATCACTGGAGGTGGAGACAGGCAATGTATCGGTGATGAAGGTGGAGAAGAGGAAGGTATCGGTGATGAAGGTGGTGATTCATGCGATGAGGGAGGAAAAGAAACCATAGGAGAGGACGGTGTCGAATCTGCAATAGTGGGATGAGGAGTAGGAATACTGGAAACAAAGGGAGGTGTATCTGGAAAGGTAAGAAAAGAGATGTCCTCCATGGAAAAGGCCGAGGAGGATGGCCGAGGGTAGTAGGGACGAGACTCATCGAAGGTGACATCCCGGGAAATACGCATCCGGCGACTGGCAGGATCCGAACACCGATAGCCCTTATGCTCATCACTGTATCCGAGAAAGACACACTCAACAGACTGAGCGGTCAGTTTGGTGCGTTCACGAGGGGCAAGCAAAACATAGCAAACACAACCAAACAAGCGAAGCACCGAATAATCAGGAGAACGACCAGAAAGATGCTCAAGAGGAATACCACCCTGTAGAGCAGCAGATGGCTGAATGTTGATGAGATAGGTGGAAGTGGTAACAGCCTCAGCCCAGAAGTGAGGCGGAAGAGAGGCAGCGATCATCATCGCACGTGCCGTCTCAAGAAGGTGACGATGCTTGCGCTCAGCCACACCATTCTGAGCATGAGCACCAGGACAAGAGAACTGAGCAAGAGTACCCTGCTCAGCAAGGAATCCTCGCAGAGCATGGGAGATATACTCACCAGCTGAATCTACACGGAAAACGCGAATAGGAGTAGAAAACTGGGTATGAACCATGGCAATAAATTTTTTGTATATAGATAAGACCTCACTACGGGAAGACATGAAATAGATCCATGTGTACCGAGAAAAATCATCTACAAAGATAATATAGTAACGATGAACCCCTTTAGAAGTGAAGGGAGCCGGACCCCAAACATCAGAGTGAACAAGATCAAAAGGGCGCTCGGACACTGACTCACTATGAGGATAAGGTAGCTGAATCTGCTTGCCAAGCCTACAACCTAGACAATCCAACGAAGCATTACCGGAGACAGACCCCAGAACACCGTGATGAACCAAAGAGGAGAGACGAGAACCACATAAATGGCCAAGACAATGATGCCACTGTTGAAAAGAGCTGGTAGATGCAGTAACAGGGGCTGTGAGACTAGCGGCGGTGGCAGCGGAGGGAAGACGAAGCCAGTCAAGCTCCCAGAGACCATCAGAGCGTCGAGGGCCAGCACCAAGCAGAGCGCCCGTGTGACGATCCTGAACAGAACACGAATCAAAGTCGAGAATGACCCTACAACTAGAATCTACAATCTGACCACCAGATATGAGCTGCATGGTAAGTCGAGGAACATGAGCTACAGAGGGAACATGAAATGAAGAAGTGCTAAGAGTGCCTCGACTTGCTACAGGGAGGGGAGTGCCATCAGCCGTAAGAACGCGAACAGGAGACTCGACAGGTCGAACAGAGGTCAAAGTGGAAGAATCATACGTCATATGAAAATACGCTTCAGTATCAAGAATCCATGGGGATGTACCTGAATGGGTAGAAGGTGGTTTCTCATTGCCAGAAGAGTCAGTCACAGAATCTGCAGAAACTGTTGGTGAAGAATCCCAAGCATCAAGCAGGCAACGTAGTTGTGCAATCTCACGTGCAGACAGCGACAGGGCAGAGGTTGAGGTAGAAACACTTGTCGACGATGAGCAGTCGCCACCCCCCATGAAAGCCGCATGTAAAGTCGACCGAGAGTAGCGAGTCGACCCAGAGCCGCATGTGGAAACCACTGGGGAAGTCGCCACAGAGCGATCACCGCCGCGCACGAAAGCCGCGGGAGGAGTCGACATGGGGCGACAATCACCAGGTGCGGAAGTCATGGAAAGAGTCGATGAAGAACGACCATCACCATGCAGAGAAGCGGCCAGAGGAGGCGGTGCAGCTGCCGAAGGAGCTGATGTAGAGCGGCCAGCAGCACAAGTGGATGTCGCAAAAGGTGCTGATGTAGAGCGACAAACACCACCTCCAAGCGGGCGAGCACCAAGCACCAAGGAAAAGCGCATGTGCGAGATGGGATCAATATAAGGAACACCGTCAATAAACACCGGGCAGCGAGGGGGAGGCGTACCCGACGAAAGCATTGTACCTCTTTTTTTTTTCTTTTTTTTTCTTTTTTTTTACAACGACAGAACTTCAGGGCGTCAAGCCAGGGAGCTGAACGAAGCCCACCAGCAGCCCAAAGCAGAACGGAAGCAGGGAGCACGCACACAGGCAGGTGGATCGATTCACGACCCTGCAGTCAACGCACACGAGTGTGAGATGGGTAACCGGCTCGGGAGAGCAGCAGGCGGCAATGGCGGCTGGCGCTCGACCAGATTGCGCGCGGGGCAAGAAGAAGGATGGACGGCGTGGGCCAGGCCGGGCGGGCGGCGGCGCCGCACCAGGAGGGCGGGCGGCGGCGACGGCGCACCAGACGGGCGGGCCGCGGTGGCGGCACACCAAACGAAAGAGCGGGCGGCGAGATCAGAGACGAAGTGGAGCAAGCCGGCTGCTGGAGCAGTTGTTTCGATCCGGATCAGCCAGAGCAGCCCGATCGTGAGGAGCCTAGTCCTTTGGATATGCAATAGTTGGAGACGGAGTGGATCAAGCCTTGCAGATCGAGCGCCAGCCAAGTCCCGATCGGCAGCGGACTAAAAGCAGCCTGAACAACGGGGAGAAGGCAGCAGCGCTGGCCGGAAAAACAGCGGCGCGGCGTGGGATTAGATGGTAGCACGAGTCGCGCGTGCGAGAAAAAAGAACCTAAGCTCTAATACCACGCTAGGAATAGCAACTTATCATTATCAGGAGGCAAAACGCCATCATATATATATGTACAGGGGAGGCCAAAGGCCAGAATGCAAAAGGCCAAAAGCCAACATAAATATAACTCTAACATCATCCACCTTGGCCATGGCGCGCGAGGGGTCGTTCATGCTCGTTATCGGCACTGCCGGCCACAACTCAGACGACACCTTGGCTATGGCGCGCAGGAAGGCCTCCGTTCCCTCCGGAGTGTCGGGCGGGTGCGACATCACCACGGCCCGCCACAGCTCTGGGGACTTGGAGGCGTGGAGCCAGGAGCAGCACACCAGGCCCGCGCCCATGAGGAGCTCGACGGCGCCGAGCTTGGCGAAGACGCAGGCGAGCGCGTCCAGGGGCATCTCAGACCAGTCCCTGGCGGATGGACCCGCGTGCACATTTTGTCGAACACCTGCCCTGCGTGAGTGCGATGAATGGAATTATAGACAAGGAATCCGGGGAGGAGGGCACCATCGAGTGAAAGGAAGGATAGGGGAGACGTATGTAAAAAAGAAGTAGAAGAAGACGAAGAAGAAAGGGATGATGGGGTGCTTACCTCGCCGGCAGCGGGCGTTGGGCGGCAGGGGAGGAGACGCATCTGTTCAGCGCTGCTCTCGCTTGGCGTCAGTTTTTTTTAGAGAATTTTTCATTCTTATCATGAATCAATACAAAATAGTTGACCCTTACAAACACACTGAAACGCAAACACAAAAGACCATAAACATCTAAAGTACCCTAAGACAACCATAACACAAGAAGATCTCCGAAGCCCATTGTCATCATCCCTGAATCTTGAGAGAAGACCCCTGCAGCAGAAGGATCTGCAACCAGTCGCAAACAGGTCATCATCTTCGACCATAGTACAATTGCCGCCATGCTGCTTCCTCCTTTCTTGACATCAGCGTTGAGAAGATATGGACATCAATCCAACACACCTGCAACAGCCGTCGCCATCTTTGGATTTGAGTACCGCGAAAAATGTCCCTTCCGAAAGGAAGAGAACTCGAATGATCCGACCGGTCCAGCACCACGGCCGGGTCATCCGCCCAGGGAAAGCAGGATCTCCCACCAGCATCAGCGCAGAGGAAGAAGAAGAACAGCAGCAGCGAATCATACCAACAAGGAAGAAGAAAGGGCTTCGTCTCGCTGCATCCATCGCCCATCTGAGGACCCAAACGGCCAGTGCCGATGGACCTCGAGCCACCATTGCCCGCGACCTCGACGAGATCCGGGGATCCTCAACCCCGCTGGCTCCTAGACGCAGGCAAAAGCCTCGCCTGACCGCGAACCGAGCCCGGAGAAACTTATTTCGACGCGACACCGCCGCAAAGGCCTCGGCAGCGTCTCCCTCAACCCTAACCCTACCACACACTCGCCTAGCGAACAGACCCGAGATTCCCCCTCCCTCCCGCCGCCAGTTGACGGACCGTATGACTGAACAATCTTGGACCGTAAGTAGTATTTCTCCGATCTTCAGCCCACCCAGCCCAGCCCAAACCACTCCCCTCCCAAATACACATACCCCTGTCCAGCGGAATTCGTGTTGTTTTCCTTCTAGCGCCCGTACATATTGATTTTACGATTTTTCATTTGGATTTTTAGTTTTTTATAAAGTGTTTTAAGAATTCATAATTGTTTTTCAAATTAACTGAATATTTTATAAAAAGCCAGGAATTCAATAGAAAATGAATGGACAAAAAATGGTTGCTGTCTACTTAGAAAAATATTCATTGTGAATTGAAGAATATTCACCATGTTTAAAAAATTATTCACCACGTATTTCATAACTGTTTATATATACACAAAACTCAGAAATTTTTCCATCAAAAATTGAAAAAATGAAGCAGATAAGAGAATATATAAAAGAAAAATCAATATTTTCACGGGACAACGTAAAAAAATACATGAATATTTCAGAAACGACATGAATTTTATATTAAAATGGATGCAAAAAATGGTCACTGCGTTTTGAAAAAATTATTCACTGTGTACTCTCTCTGTCTAAAAGTACTTGTTGAAGAAATAGATAAAAATTGATTTATACAAAACAAAATTAGATATATCCATTTCCCCAACAAATATTTCCGGATGGAGGGAATATTAAATAAACCATTCACCATGTATTCAAAAAATGTTCATAAACACACAAGTCAAAGTATTTTCCATCAAAAATAAAAAATAAAGTGAAGAAGAAAATAAATAAATTAAAAATTAATATTTCTTTGACAACCTAAACATTTAGAATCTTAATTGATATTGAGTCTAATTTTTTGTGTGAAATATAATACATGTTTTGCTAGTTAAATTGACGACATAAAACTCATGCCCGAGTTATAAATACAAACCGATATATGGCTCGAAGTTAGCGTGTCGCACAGGATGAGTTATGTGCCGTTGGGATAGTTTGTGATGTTTTTCTTCGAGTGCTTATACATTTTGGTTTTAGCGATTATTTTATCAGAGTTAATTACATTTCAAACCCTATTTTCTTCAAAATGTGCACACTTATTTAGGCTTTTTCGATGAGAAACCTTTTTAGTTATGTGGGTATTTTATTAAATTACACATTTTAGAGAAATACATGAACTTTATATATAAATGCATGACCAAAGATTGTTTATAAAAAAAATGCATGACCAAAGATTGGACACTCGTGCCATCCGCCGGAGAGAACTCGTGCCATCCAATTTCACTCGACCCACTAGTACCTCACTATTCACCAGCCACCCGTCCAGCTCACCATCCTCCTTGGGGTCTTGGAGACCAGCCGCCGGAGAGCGGCCATCAGATCAGATCGAGAACAGAAATGCAGGTTGCGACCGGGGCACTCAGCCCCCTCCTCCGCAAGCTCGACTAGCTGCTCCTCACTGTTAAGCATTGTATAATACGATATTGCCTATAAACCGTATGTAGCTAGTTAGATTGCGTGCGGCGTGCGTGTGTTTGTTGTAACCATCTTAGGATAGGTCAGGGCTGTTGTGATCTAATCCAGTTGTAGCTAGTTTTCTTGGAGATCAATCCACAGCCCTAAGAGCATCTTCAGCCATTGAGCCCCCTAGAAGGCATTTTTTTCGTCGCTTGGGGGGGTGTCGGCGAAACATTTAGTCTTGGGATGAAAAACTAGCCCCCCCCCCCACACACACACTTATCCACTCGTTAGCCACGGCGCCACTGGCCGCCGCGGACAGCAGCGCGGCCTCTTGCTGCTCGCTGCCCTCGCCACGTCGCCGCTCGCCGCCCTCGCCACGTCGCCGCTCGCCGCCGTCCAGCTAGCTCCCCCTCCCTTCCTGTTGGCGCGAGCTTGGAGACGACCCAGAGTTGGACTGCAGCGGCGGCAGCGCGAGCTTGGAGGCGACCCGGAGGTGCAGCTACAGCTCGTCCCGCTGTGCCTTGCAGCTCGTCCCGCCGCGCCGGCCTGTTCACTGCGCATGCCTGCAGCTTGGCACGACCGCCCGTCCGCCGCGCCCCCTCCTCCTCCTCGGACGTTTTCATGTCGCTCCCATCATTGTAGTGATGGTGCGTGGAGGACGGGGGTAGCGAGGTGAGCCACGGCCTCGCGTCGCTCCTCTCCTGGTCCTCCTCCCGCGCCGACCTCCTCCTCCCCGTCCGTCTCTTCCTCGTCATCCTCCTCGTCCGTCTCTTCCTCGTCATCCTCCCCGTCCTCCACCTCGCGGATGCGGCGCCGCAGCGTGGCCATGCCCTAGTCCAGCAGATCGGGAGGTCCGGAGGCACGGCCTCGGGGAGGGGAGACGACGAGAGGGAGGCCGCCACGAGAGGCGATGGGCAGGCAGGAGCGGGAGCTCCCACGGCGGCTGCCACGGTTGAGATCCAGCTCCAGCTCCCAGGTTGTCCACCGCTCCAGCACCAAGGCTGACCGCGAGCTCCCACGGCGTCAGCCACGGCTAAGCTCAGGCCTCCCGGCCGTCCAGGCCATGGCCGTGCCCGCGCAGGCCGTCCTGGTCGCTCCCGCGGGGGCACATCAGCACGCACAGGTCTTCTCGCCAGCGTCGAACGCGACGGCGGGGCATAGAGCACAGCTGACGATGGGCGGAGCGAAGGAGGCTGGCCGCAGCGAGCACCTCGACGGTGGATGGCTGGCACTCCTGCTTCACCCGTCTCCACAGCTTGTGTGTTGTGTTCGGTAGGAAAAGAGGAGAGAGGAGAGAGAGAAAGAGGGGAAAGTTGCTGACAGTGGGCCGAAAAGGAAAAAAAGAATAGCGTCGGTGCCTCCTAGCTGCCCCCCGGGTTCCTGGGTCTCGCCCGAGATTGTTGGCTGTGTTTTTGACTAAATCCGGCGCAAAGCAAGGTCTTGGGGATCCGACTGGCTCATTTTTTTAGTGCCGGGGTGAAAAAGTGGTCCCGGGGGGCTCGGCGGGGGGACGGCTGGAGATGCTCTAACCTCCTAACCTCTCTGTAATCTTTAGCCTTATATATCACCCATGCGTCCCTGCTTAATTGCATATGCTTTAGCCTCCTTTTCTACATGGTATACAGAGCCTCTCTCTTCCAGTGCATCTAGGTCATGTCGTCTTCCTCCTCTCCCGTCGCCATGGCATCTCCTTCCCTCGCATCGCTCGGCCATACCATCACCGAGAAACTAACCAGGGAAAACTTCCTGGTGTGGAAGGTGCAAGTCCTTCCGCATATCAATGCGACAGGTATGATGGGCAACCTTGATGGCTCAACCAAGGAGCCGAACGTTGTGCTCCTCTCTAAGGAGGAAATCGCTGACGGAAGATGGAGACCGTCACCATGCCCAACCCTGAGTACACCATCTGGGTAACATAGGATCAAAGGTGCTCATGTTCCTGATTGCTTCTCTCTCTCTCTCTCGTGATGTTCTTATGCAAGTCTCGAACCACACCACCTCTACTAGTATCTGGCAAGCTTTGGTACAGAGTTTTTCATCGCAATCCAGGGCACACACTATCCAGCTTTGTTCTTCCCTAGGGAACACACACAAGGGGGATCTCTCGGCAGCAGCCTAATTCACCAAGATGAAGGGCATCGCCGATGATCGAGCTCGCAGCCACCGGAAGCCCCTCCACTACTGGAATAAAGATCTTTGCCGTCAACTAGCTCTTTGTCGTCCGCTAGCTGACGGCAAAGTAGGTCTTTGCCATCAGCTTACAGAAAGCTGATGACAAAGAAAGAGCGGATGGCAAAGAGGTTGTTTGCCATCAGTCTGCTCTCTGACGTCTGCTAACAGACGGTAAAGAAGCTTTGCCAAAGAGGGAGGGTGGCCCACTAACGAGAACCACCTAACGGCCACTTAGTTTGTCGTCTGCTAGCAGATGGCAAAGCTTCTTTATCGTCCGCTAGCGGACGGCAAAGAGAATAGCCAACCTAACGGCCGTTTCCC